CTGAACTGTTTATATCTTAGCAGGAATAATGACATGAATAGTTTGACTGTTGAGATGTGAAATCAAAGTGAACACTTGTCGAAATTTTTTTCAGCAAAATTAAATGTTTCTAATTTAAAATGAATCAGAGTAGTATTTTTCTGTATTTTGTTCATTCTATGTTTAAATTTAGATCATTTGATATACATTTTTTACAATTGGCTCATTTCTGGATCATTAAATCCCATCCATCATCAAATAATATTTATTAGACTTTCGCATGTTCATAGATACAGAATGACTGCTATGCGATAGTGGTTAAGGAAAGAGCATCTACCCCTTTAAAAAGTACATAACTCTTCAACCAAATACGTTTATGTGTCTAATGAATACAAATATAGTATTTCTTCATTACCCCCATCCATTTGACTCACTTCTCTCTGCCATTTTTTTTATTCTAAAAATCTATATGGAATTTTAAAGGTACTTTTAAATCATTAGCAGACACATTAAGAATTATATTGCACATTAAATTTTTATGATATACTTTAGATAACGGCTTTCAGATTTATTTCAACGTAAGGAAGATGTGGAAATTAAACTTAGAAGTTGTATTCTTTCAATAAAGGACATTTAGGGACAAGTTAGGGAACAAAACTGATCACTGAAAAGAAAGAATATAAGGTGGAAACAGCGAGGTAAAATAAGAATATAAAAGAGTTGGAGGAATTATTGGTAACTCTTATTTGGAATAACATATTTGCGGATTGTTTGACTCAAGTTTTAGTTAAGAGTTTAACAAAATGCATATTATTCTTGTCAGTGCTTTTGGGATGGTGGTGGTGGCAGTGGTGATGGTGGCAGTGGATAAACATTGTTTCCCCAGGCTGTGTAATACCTCTTCTGTTCCTCATTGGTGGGCTCACAGAAGAGTAGACAAAAAGGAAATGTGGCTCTCACTTAGTTTCATTCATTTTTGACTGTGAAATGTGATAGATGATTTAATATAATACCTAAATCATCTTCTATCAAGCCATATTTATCCTGTCCTTTATTAAAATAGAGGAAAAAAATGTTAAATACCGGTTTTCCTACTGGATTCAGGGGTCAAAAGTTAATTATTGATAGATTCTTTTTCTAGGCTCTTAGAGAAAACTAAGAGATATTTTTCAGGTTGGTTATTTGGATACTTAATATATTTGTAGTAAAATAAATTTATAATGAAGTATTTTTCTGCAATTATGAAGACAAAATTAACTATCTATTGATAGGATCTTTCTTAAACTCATTTATTTATGATTTGTTTCTAGGTACATTTCAAAAGTTTACTATCTTTATTTTAAATTTCTTATTCTTTATATTAAGTTTTTATCTTTTTTTGACATTTACTGCACATCAAGTCAAATACGTCTGTTTGAATCTTCTTCCTGAGAAAGAAGAGGAGGAAAAGTTGACCTTTGGGTGACAAGTTTATGGTTACCACAATTAGCAACTACTTTGCAGCTCTGTGTTCCTCTTTTATTCTATTTAAACATTCTTTGACATTTCAGATGACTGTTAAACTTGAATTATATATAAGCGTAACTCATTGTCTTAAACTATTTCTTTCTAGGTAAACAGGATTATAAAAAAACTAAACCTATTTTACGAGCAACCAAATTAAAAGCAGAAGCAAAGAAAACAGCAATAGGCATAAAGGTAGACCACTGTCTGATAACTTTAAAACTTGATATGTGCATGCCATTTCGTTTTCTGAAACTGGATTGCATAAATGTTGAATTCTAAATGTTTTATGACATTTCAAAATCTAAATAGGATGCCAGAATTGAAGATCTTTGTAAAGAATTTACTTAATGGAAAACATCCTTTCTATCCTTAGATTGTGACAGGGATTAAAATAAAACACAGTGTCACTTAAGAGAACCAGTTATATTTAGAGTTTCAATTTATTTTTTCCTTTAGCTATTGTACATATTGTTTTAACATTTCAATTTTGTATGTAGCCTTAGTCAAAAATTTATTTTGTGGTCAATAAATTTTATTTTATGCTTGTATAAATTTTAGGTGTAATAATATCTAATAATAACATACTTAGATCTTTAAAACATGGAATTGTATTCTGTGTATCTTGTTAGTATATTTTTATGATGAAATTCTGATGACGTTCCCAAACTTGTTCTTTTAGAAAACCAGTGTTTATCTGCTTAAGAGGGATAAATGCAACTGAGAATGATGTTAGCAGATATTAATTCAATGTGCTAGGACAATGAAGTTCAACAAAATTACATTTATATTATTATCCATGTCAATTTTTTGCCAAGTATTTAGAGTTGAATTAAACTATTAATAGAAAAATGAATTTGCCAGCCCTATGATCAAATATGTAAAATAAAATGATCAGTATATATATCTTATTTAAATATTAAAATGTTAAAAGGAGATTTTGGTTTTTATCTGGCAGATGAAAAATCAATTTTTCTAAGTTATAGCTTATAGCAAATGCCAAGGTATTACTACCAAGCTGTAACAGCTGTTGAACTGCCAGATGATATATTTGGTTGTCTTCCAGAATTTGCTATTACGATCATGAAACACTGCCTCCTTTTTGCTCCTGATTGCTGATTTTGATCAAGCATTGCCGTGTGATGCTGTATGTTTTCACAACACAGTGTCCTCAGTTAGTGCCGCGTGTCAGTTTTCAATGCAAGAGAATAAATTGCCTTTTTGTTTAAACGAGAGATTAATCTTTTGAATTTTTAAATATTTCATATGAAATTGCATTCATATTCAAAAAGATTTTGATGACATGACTTTTCTAAACAGCAGTTCTCAGTTTTTTACTTTATGTTTAGTTACTTGGTGGTTGTCTCTTAAAGTGAGAACATTGTCATTGTCCTCCAAAGCAATATGCCACGTTCTTTTATATTACATAACACAGAGGGTATTTTTTGATTTTTAGAAAAATATTGTGGTAACAAAATCCACTTGTGGCACAATATTATGAATAGTTATATATGAGGATTAGAAAAATAGTTAAACCATCCATTAATTTATATATCTTTTGTATAAATTTTTCTATTTGCTTTTAAAATTTTTCTTGCTTTAATTTGAAGAGACAGCCATGTACCCATATGAGATAAAGTATACTTTATATTGCACTTACCAGTTTTTTCTTTTAATGTAAAATTTGTCTTTTAAAGAGAACAATCTTTTCATAGATTTTATTTACAATTTCACACACAGGACATTTCTAAGTGACATCAGAGCATAGCTCCTTTTTTAATAAGCTAACATATCATTCTGATTTGTAAACCTGTTGAAAACAAAGATCTTAACCTTGAATTTTGTTTACTTTGCTTGAAAATTTATGTGAAGAGCCCATTAAGATGATACGAAACTTTTAAAATCAGAACTATGGAGGTGTTTTACATTTCAAATCTGGCATAATAATTAGTTTGCCCTGTCAAACTTTGATTGCCTTGTCATTTTGGCATAGGATTTTAAATAACGAAGTTTCTTTCAGCAATTGCCATTTAATGCTTTTTAATTTCCCCAGTGAGTGATTTTATCCATATTGATAATGTCAGGGAAGCAACTAAGGACTAATGAACATCAAATATGTTTGACTCTTATCTGGTTGATACAGAATGACCATAACATTGTAATATTTTATTACTTTGCTTCTTGTTCTTTCAAAAGAATCCCAGTTATGCTCTTTAGTTGGTTTAAATCTATAGAAAATATGATCAGGTTTAGGGATAGAAAATAACAGCAATAGCAACAACACAAAACACAAGATCATAACACCTAGGATAAATCCCTTTTGCCCCTTGCTCTTGCCAAGACCTAACTAAGTTTAAGCTGGCACATTTGTAAAATGGAGATTATACATAAAATGTAAATTTATTTATTAGGTGGTCCAGAGAATTAAGTGATAAAAGCACATAGATGTCATTTATGAATTATTAGTTGATTGAGAAAAACATTTCTTTGAATGAATAAGACTTCTCTGGAGTGTTTGTTATGCTGAAAGATCCCCTCCTACAACTAAGTCTGCATTGTATGGCTACATTACACATTATGAAATGCTCTGTTTTACTGTGGTGATAGTATTATGGATATTAGTGTTATAAGATTTTTGAAAGCATTATGTTTAATATTACTTTATATAATGATCATACAAATATTACCCAATTCTTCACTATTTAGAAATTACAGTATTGTAGAACCTGTAGAAAGAAAGATAGATAAAATGTGATCATCTTGGATGAACTTGTGCAAGAAATTACTTCTAGGCCAGCTGTTGGCATGGTGGTTTAGGTGGCTGGATCCCACGTGGCCAACTATGAGGCTTGAGCCCCAGATACAGTGGCTTGTGAACAGGCAATCCTGTGTACCTGTTCGAAATTCCAAAAGTGGAGAGACGGAAGATAAGGGATTGAGGCATGACCATCACCGATGGGGGGATGCTTTCCCACTATCTCTCTCTGTCTTCAGCAGTGCCCAGGCCCTTGGGCAAATTAGGAAAAAAAAAAAATAAAGAAATCACATCCAGGTTTAACTATAGTATGCAATCAACAATCTTGATTGAGAAATCAGGATAGAGGTAAGAAGAATTATGTAACAAGAGCTTTAGCCTCCGAAGAATCTAGCATTTTTTATTTTTATTTTTTTGATAAATGAATGTGGAGGAATAGGAAATATTTTGGGACCTCAGTTAGTGATTTCAGCATAAGATCTGGACAATGTGGGGGCTAGAAGGTGATATAGTAATTAAAGGCACCAGATTCCCACATGGTCAACTATGGTTCAAGTCTCGGACCTGGCATCTTACTTTCTCACTTTCCCTTTCTCTCTCTCTCTCTGTCTCTCTCTCTGGTCAAATTGTAAAATAATAATAATAAATAAAGGTAAATATAATAATTCTTAAGAAAAGATATGAATGACATGTTAAAATCTGGAATAAATTTCTTTTGAGAAGCTATTTTATTTTCTTGCTTTATAAATACAAATAAAATGTCATAATTTATGACCCAGTAATTCAATGAGTGCCAACTAAAAAATATTTGCACAACTGAATTTGTCATTTGGTTGCTATTCAATTAGGAGACTATTTTGCAAATATCACAGCCTCAGTAAAAATTAGTTTAGACTGCAAATAGCCATATCCCTGAGTATTCAGAAGGAAAATGGATCTATTTAATTATTTTTAAAAGGCTTATTTAAAAAGCATAATCATAATGATAAAATAAGGCTCAAAAATTTGATTTTGTTACAATAAAATATTGATGTGTCAACCAGATCCTGTCAACAACCCCTCGGGATGAGCCAGTTTGAAATATTGTATTAGTTCCTTTTTTGTTATTTTTGATTTAAAGCTAAAAATGGCCAAGCAGCAGGGGGAGTCATAAATGTCTACAGGTCTCTTAAGTTATGGCTGGTGTCACCGGCATCCTGAAAGTATTTTACCATTGTTTTACTCCTCCAAACAGCTTCCATAACGCTTGTCTCCTCAACAAAATAGGTACATTTTAAAGAAAATAATGTGCTGTTCTTCCCCATCCAACAATTTGTAAGCCACTCCCCACACTATCTTTTAATCGAATGTAATTGAATTAATGGAGCCTCTCAAGTTGTGTTCTCTGAATAGTCTCTGCTTCCCACCCTTAAACTTCTTTTTCATGCTTCTGCAAATTCTGAACGTGTATAGTGAAGATGGCGCAGAGTTGTGTTAAGGATAAGAGTTGAAAAACAACAATTATAATTGATCAATAAGACAGTCATGGCCTCCAATCAGGAGTAAAAACTTTAATTTTTGCATTAAGGTTGGGTGAACGGTGACTGCTGTTGAACAGTTTTCTTGTCCACTATACAGAACAGATGGAGTTTGCAGTTGTGTGTCACTTGTTTATTACATCCTCTTAAAATTAGTAGCTGTGTAACCAGATGGGTCTGAGAGCACAGCTGTGGATATAAGAAAATAAATGAAACCTGTCTGATGCTGCCATGCCCTTTTGAGATGCCAAAGTGTTCCAACAGCAACAAAGAAAATATCATCTTTCTTTGACATTATATTGATATATATATTTTTTAAAAAATCAAACCTTGTGAAAATTATGGACACTGAACTTTTCAACCCCACAGTTTTTATTACTATTTATTTTTATATTTTAGAAATCTAAACAAATGTAGTTATGGACTAAAAATCTGCATCCGATATGTCTTTGTACTTTTAACTTTCTGGTAAAAAGTTCTATGTTCATTATAAACTAAACTCATTCTAATGTTTTTAAAGTTTATGAGGTGACATATGTTGAATTATTGATTTTACATTCCTGTGGAATGTAAACTATATGCATGTAAATGCAAATGAATTCTTGCTCCATAAAACAATGCCAGGTAAAGAGTGTATTACACAAGTGAAAATTAGAAAGGAATATTAGGCCCTTTGGGATACTAAACCTGTGCTCTACCTGCTTCATTCCCCCCAAAATGATACATTGAGAAAACTACTTGGTGTGTGTATGTCTATGTATGAGTGCACACATTCACACACACTTTTTTGAAAGGCAATATACAATAATGATATGTATTACAGTTTTTACAGTATTTTGATATATTGCAATTAATATAATCTACATCAAATCACCAAGTGAAAGATCCAAGGCCATTCTCAATAGTTGTAATAAATCACACTTCATAATTCATGAATTAGCTCCACTCAGTTAAATTTTCTCACAATATAAGTCGTAGAATTTAGAATTTAAAAATTAAAATTACAGCAAAGTAATGTTTAATAAAGATGTGTACAAAGACATAACCTATAAACTGATTATAGCAACTGTTTCTTCCCAATAAAAAAAGAGTATTTTTTAATCTATGTCTAAATGCCATCAATAATAGTAAATATATTAATGAAATCTATTATTAATAGTAGATACATTGCTCCAATATATAATATATTGAATCAAGAAATAAAGTTAAATATATAGTCAAATAGAGAATAAATGAGTCATATAGGAATAAAATGCACTCTTATGGTGACATTTTGGTATACAAACTATGACAATATATTAATATGATAAATTATAATCTTGCTATTAGGGAAGAAATCTAATTACCTGGAAATAATAGTAGATATGACCCAACCACTGATATACTTGTCATTGCAATGGATGTTGTCAAATACAAAGTAAATTTCTTTATGGCAAAAACAATGTTAAATGAAAAGAGTGTGAGTCTTAGGTTGAAATGATTCACTCTAGACTATAGAATAATACAGTTATTTTTATCTGACCTAAGTGGTAACATAAGCCCATCTCTTTATCAATTGCAAGTCTAATGTTTTTTGTTTCTTTTTTTTCTTTCTTTCCCAGGAAGTTGGCCTGGTGCTTGCAGCTCTCCTCGCCCTCCTTTTAGCTTTCTATGCTTTCTTTTATCTCAGACTATCCACAGATGCTGATCCTGATTTGGACCCAGATGAAGATTAGCTGAGCAGCAATCAATGAACGAAATGGAAATAATTTTATAAAAGCACCTTTTGGGACCAATACTATCTGATGTACTGAATTAGTGTATAGCTGGATTTTTTTTCTGTTGGTATTTTTAGTTTACAGAAATATCTTTTCAAACAGTTGCATTGAATATCAAGAGAAGAATCTTACCTAGCCCTATAATATATGTGGTGTATGACCAGATACTTTTATAAATCCTTCTGTTTTTAACAGCACCCTATACCTGGCTCCTTTAGATAAAATGGAAAGCAGATCTTAATTTTTCAGATGCCTTAGCCAATTCATGTGTATAACTTTATCATTTACACATTACCAAATCTATTTTTGTCCTCTATATATCATAAATAAAAGTATATGTCCTCATTTACAGAAACATACTCAAATCATATTCAGTGCTTAAGAAGGAATGAAAAGTGATGGGATTTTTTTATTTTACAAAGAAGCTCTGCTTTCTTTCCAGACGTATTTTATATCATTAGAGAGACTATCTGCACATACATCTACAGCAGTCTCTTTTCCTTCTTTGCCAACTGTTCGTTGCACATGTGCTTCGTCAGAAATGGCACCTGGATGACAGAAGCTCAAAGAGTCACATATGTCTCTAAAATAGAGTTCCTTTCCTCTTGGGCTGTCTGAACTGGTGTAAATAGAAAGTTCACTTGATCTTGATTTTAATTAACTTATTACTCTATTAATATAAGCTTGGAATTCTATTTTAATTATGTTGTTCTGGCTGCTTGCAGTATCCCTTTGCCCCTCTTGTTAGGGAGATATGTAACAATCTGTCATTTCATTGTGCGGTGTTTTTCACACAACAGTGATAACAGAAGTCCTATCTATGCAGAATCATTTTCCTGGTTTGTCTTCTAAATCCGGACAATACAAAATTGTTTTAAAAATTTACGTTTTGTCTCTGGAGAGTTAATCCATTAGAACTCTAGTTAAAAGTTAATAGTAGAAAATGTAGGCCTAGTATTACTTTCATGTATACTTTTCTATTTATATACTTTTTAAGTTTATTTTACATTGGTTGTAGCATAATGACTAGTATGTTCAATATTTTTTACTGGTGATTGAAATTTTAAATATTTTTTAAAAACATGAACACATAAAGGTTAGAAAATGGGAAAATATTTGTTCAAAGAGAAGTTGTTAGCTTCTACCTTATATAAAAATGCATAGAAAATTAATAGTTTGAAACATGTTCCCAAAGAGTTTGTAGTGTATATACTGTATTTATGAAGAGTAAATAAAGTATTAAGATTTTTTTTTCATCCTGGCCAAGAGTAGAAATTTTTAGTAGATACCCTATGAGTATATATGGCTTTATAAAGATAGCTTCTTTTAAAAAGCAGATATTCTTTGGTACTTTTGCAAAAACTTGAATGTGACTGTAGCATTATGTTCTGTAGAATTTTTTCAAGTAGGATAATTTATTTCATCAGTGTGAAAACAGCCAAAGGTTCCATTATCCTCACAGATTTTTTTATGCCAAACATCTGAGGGCAAAATTTAGCCAGTGTTATTTACTGGATTCTTCCCCTTGAACTCACAAACTCAAAAGACAGACCCAGAGTTCTTATATACCCACCACAGTGGGCCAATCCAAGTGGCATTTTTAGGAAAGGTTGCAGCATTTAATGCCATGTGGTATGTCTGTTCGTGAAGTGGGAGGCAAGGGAATATCCAAGCTGGCATTTTGGATATGATGGGCCTTTTCCTTTCCTGAGTGACATGCCACATGTCAAGAAATACTGCTTTCCCCCACTCCCATCACATTTACGTGAACAATTTTCATTTAGTTATTTCCCCTCCCATATGGTGTTTTAAACAGTCATATTAAATAAAGATTATTTCTAGTTTTCAGTGGTAATTTAAATAGGAGGAAATGTAATAGGTATTCATTAGATACCTATCCAACTGAGATATAACAGAGTTTACAGTATTTAAAATAGATGATTCTACTCTTGGAAATGTTTGAAAATTCATCATCCTGGAAAAAAAAAAAAAACTGTACCATTTTGCTATAATCTGAAGGTGTTCTTTTGAGGAAAAAAAACGTTTTCCCTGATAGTAATAAATATCGGTCTACATACTGTATAATTCTAGGCAAGTTTCTTTGCCTAGTTTTATTGATATCCTGAGTCTATAGCTTGTCCATTGGTATGGCTTCTTGACTTATGATGGCCCTAGAGAACCATAAGTCCTAAAAGAGAAACTATGATTTCAGAAAGCAGCAGGTAATGTGAGACAATGTAAGTTTATACAACCCTGCTTTTGTGAAATGCAAATTTTTTGAACTCACATTAACTGGGAATCCGCCAATCCTCTGTACAGAAATCCCAGATTGAAAGTCTGGTTTGAATCTTTGTAGACAGAAAGGTGATATCCGGCCTGCTGTTTCAGGAGACCACACTTTTGAATAGTGAGTGGAGTTTGGCATAAATCTGAGACTGGCAGCAGACACAAATTTTAGGCCTGAGTATTTCCCCTCCAATAATTCACTGCTCACAGTAATTCAGAAAGCAAAACAGAAAAAAATTATAATGACTTTTCAGAATGTTAGAATCTATTTGTTAGCATACACTTGGAATAAATTTTAACTCATGTAGCAGGTTTAACATATAGCCTATGAAATACTGTGAAAGAAGTTTGAAGGATGGCTGGTTCTTATTTTGCATGCAAGTTTAGATTGAGGTAAAGAATGTATAAATTCCTTTGAAAGGAGATACTCTACAAATATAACTTCTTTTAGAATTTTTTAAAAACAAACAAAAAGCCTATTTTAGTACGAATATAGGGTGGGTTGGTTGTTTTAATGTGGTTAAATACTTGATGGTTTTTTATCTTTTCCATTTTTCATAAAGAAGAAATACTCTTACCACAATCAATAATTATAAAATTCTGACTATATTCTTATTTGTTTCTGTAATTCTGATAGTATAGTGATCTGCATATAAGTTTAATAAATGCACATTAAAATTTAAAATGTCTTTTAGTCATCTCAGAGTCTGGTGCAGAGTTTTTGTATACTAGATGATCAAAACTTATTTGAATAATAAATAAGGCTTAGAAATTATAATAGCGATTAATTTAGCAGTTATGGTCACTGGTTTTCTTGGGATATTTATAGAGAGAGAAAGAGAAAGGTGGCTGTATTAATATATACACACACACACACTTAGTTATATTTTATCCTGGTTCTCTTTAAGATCAAGACAATTAGCATTAAGATTACTATATAATAAAAACATTACTCTTTTTTAAAAATTAAATATGCTAGTTTTATTATAGCATTTATTAAAATCCATATTTAATGTTTGAATTCAACTTAGCATGCGTCTTCACTCCAAATAAAAACAGAGCTAAATTTTTATTATAAAGAGGGACTTCCAAAAGTTACTGGGAAAATGGAGTTAAAGTACGAGTTTATTTTCATGCAAGACAATTTTTAAGTCTATGCTTAACTTTGTTATAAAATGCATTTTCCATGAATTTTTTGAAAACTCTCCCCCTCCATGTTTATGTGAGTACTGAAGCATTATATTTTTCCAACTAAAGTTACATAGTCAATTATGACTTAGTAGAGCAAATTGTATGGTAAATAAGCTTCAGAAATGAACTTCTAGAAATCTAATGTTTTTCATTTTAATGTATTTTATCCATAAAACAAAGTTGTTGAACTAGAGACTCCGTAAGATAATTTTAATATTCTCTCCTTATGAACAATTAGATTTCTTTACACTTACCTGCATTTCTCTGGGGGAGATTCCTATCCCTTCTCCCTTAGCAGCATTGCCTCCTTTGATTAGAATTGCTCCAATGTAGCCTGGATACAATGGTGTTTGTTAAGTTTTGTTCCACCGACAGTATAACTAGAATCAGTGCAACCCACAGCAAGAATGTTAACAGGTTAATTTGGTATCTACCGAAACATTCTTACCATTTTGTTCAGGTTTTAGCTATACAGGTAAACATAAAGGGGATTGTACGAGTTAGGTAAAGAACTGTGCCAGTGTGGAAATAACCGTAGTGGATCAGTCATTCTTTTACAACAATTGAGCTGCAGCCGTACTCAGCACACTGCCTCCTTGTTATACTTTTTTTTCTTATCCCTAGCAACAGATATGAGATTCTTATTTCAAGAAAAATAAGATACTTTACATGCCAGAAGATTTTTTTGATGACAGTACCCCCCTCCTATTCTTCATTTTTTAAAACAACAACCAAATTGGTGGGGAAGCAGCCAAAATTTGAGGTACCAATGCCTCTCGAACAGATGTCGCACCATTATTTTTTAGCTCGTTTAGATGAATAAACATGTTAAACTGTGAAGTATTACATTTTAGATTTTTTCATTAAAAAAAGAGACAATCTGTTTACTGTCCTAATTGAGACAACAATCCTTGTGGTTGCCAGTTTTGGCAGTCATAACAATGAACTATAAATATTTGGACCAATCAAGTAAATGGTGACTATAAAGGCTATAGCATGTGTAAAGTTCTGTTTTCACGGGCACCCATCTTAGTATGCCATTTTTTTTTTCTGACTTCTTCAAATACAATTGTTTGTGTGAAACGGAAGTTTCATGGTGAGCCTAAAAGAAATTGATTTCAATATCTAATTTCTTTCTAGTTTTTCATCTTTTTTAGTGTTCATCTATCCATCTGCTTGTAAAACACTGCTTTGGCAGTTGCTCTATTGAATGTGGATTGCCTTCTCTGTGTGTCCCAGGATAAAACACAATTCAGATTTTTCCTTTTTAGAAGGCTTTATAGAGAAAAAAGGGTGGATAGAATTCTGCTGCAATGGTATGAGAAGGATGTCCAGAATCTTAGCCCTTTTAGGATGCTTTACATGAAACAGTGTGTTAAAGCTTGGTCGACTAAAGAAAAATAACCCCTGCACAAAAAGTTCATAATGCTAGTTTCCAAGCATTTGTGATGCAGGTATCAAGAGTGCTTCTAGGCATCTTATTTAAATGGCTTTTGCTAACTTCTAAAACTTTATCTTCTGAAATTTAGTTTTACTTTTATAGGTAAACACTCTCTCATACTTTATCCTTAATGAAATTTTCTCTAATCTTTTACTTACAATCATCATTGATCTTTACCAGTTTTTCTCTACTACTTCTAATCTCTTTTTTTTTTAATCACTAATCACATGTATTACACAAAAGTAGCCAGAGTAATATATGTGACCAACTCCTGGTTTCAACAATTATCAATATTTTGCCATTCTTTTATGTATTTCCTTAATGTTTTATAACCTGAGGTATTTTTTAAAAGAATTATTTTATTTAACTTTATTTATTCATTTATTTATTTGACAAGAGAGAGGCAGAATGAGACAGAGAGAAAGAGAGAGAGAAAATGAGAAAGCAAGCCACCAGCCTAGGACTTGAACTGTGGTCAGCCATGTGGGAGTCTAGCAGCCTTAACCACCATGCCACCTTCTGACCCCCAATTGAGTATTTTTAAGAGAAATCCCATATACAGTAATATTATCTTGAAAGTGCATCTCTTACTGAGAAGAATGCTGAATTTTTCTTTGTTTTGCTAGTTTTAATGGTTCATATTAACAGGAAGTTCTTAACATCATCCAATACCAAGTCAATATTTACCTGTCCCCATTTGTCTCCAAATGTCTATTTATGTATTGATTTTCTCTTTTTAGAAAAGTTTCTTTCATGAGAGAGAAGGAGAGGCACTGTCAGCAGGCTCTGATGACATGATCCTTCCCATCAGTCTTTCCCAGTCTGCCAGGATCTCAGGCATGTATCCTTGCTGGCCTGTTCACGTCAGCCTGGGAATACAACCCTGGTTTTCCATATGGCATCTAGCATTGCGGAGCATTGTGCTGCCATTGTGCCATAGCAGCTGGGCCTACAGTAGATTTTGAAT